TTGATAACAATGCTCCCGAATGTTGATTTTCAACAAGAAGTTATTGAAAAACTGGTAAATGTCCAGCATTGTCCAAAAGCGTCGAATTAACTTATAAATCCACCAATTACCTACATGCATATGCTGCTTCCCCAGCACAGTCGTCAGAGAGTAGTAAGTAGACGAAACAAGTCGAAGTGGCATTCGCCTCCGATCCTCGGGCGCGTGCAAATAGGGAGGATGGAATTGCGTAATATTTTGCACACTCATCGCCATACTCAGAACCACAAGCTCCCAACGACCACACCACTATGTGGTGTTGTTCGGTCGTCAAAATTAGTAGCAGCAGTAGCAGTGCTTTCGGCGTGTTGTGGCGTTGAAAATTGTTCTCCAGTAACAACGAGCTGCAGAGCCCACATAAGCAACCATCAAAGGAGGAAGAAGCTGCACCGCTATGCTATGGATCGGAATCAGTAGCTCTTCGTGAGTCGCTGAGGGTCGGTCATCTATGCCAAGCGTGTCACTCTCGCTCCAAACGACATACAGCACGACAGCCTCATCCGTGTTGAACACCCAGCTCAGAATTACTCAACCATCACTACAAAACGGTCCTTTTCAGGGCCATCAAAAATTTGTTAGAGAGTATTATTTGGACACTGGTCAAGGTCATCAGTTCCCGCAAGCAGCTAGCTATCAAGGCTCAACCTGGTCTCTATATAAGGTGTGGAATTGTAGGCCCGAATGTATTGGTGAGATTAATCATCGTTCGACCATTTTCCAGAACACGCTGGTAGGAAGCGTTAAAAATCCATATAGAATTTGAGAGAAGTTGGAATAATTCGCTTTCGCTCCACAGTGCTTAAATGGTTTCAAATCGGGTCCAGATTAGCCTCCCAAAGTTACAACTCATTTGGTTAGAAACAGACTTCGCACAAGCCATTTGAAGTTGACATGTAAATTACTATGGGAAATCTCAACTTTTTGTTCATTGCCTTCTAGTATTTTTCCATATTAAGCTGCGAAACAGATATACTTTCGGGGCGCCCCATTCATATAATTCGGAAGAGAATCCTGTGAGGGGTGAATTGAATACACTTCAATACCAAAATGCACAAACCTTAAAAATTCATAAATAACAAAAAAAAATCAAAATACACCTTTTTAAGCCGGGTAGATGAATCGAAATACTCAAGTTGACAGTCCCTTGGATTCTCTTCATCAACTTTCTCTTTGAAATAGATACTACAAGTTTGATACGCTTACAAATAAAAAACGGAAAGGGTTAATATAATTGATGATTGATCAATTAAAAGAACTAAATGTTCACATTTGTTCCATCCACTAGCGGTCCTACGTCAAGCATCCGTTCGTGCCCCTAGGCACAGACCCTTCTACTTTTTTTTCTTCTGTTCGGGACCTAACACTACTGCGACCAGTAAATTGATCTATTGTAGTATATCCCGTGTCCTTAGTTTAGTGCATGACGTATTACTCCATCACTGTTGAGAAATGATGAAGTATTCGATTTTTTTTACAGTTGCCACTCTTGCATTTATCGCAAGGATCCGACTCTACTTGAAAGGTCCCGCTATTTATACCCTTCGGAGTGTTGAAACACCCTCCAAAGGCGCGCCCCTTTGTCAGTCAAAATTGGATTCCTTAGCAACAAAATTAAGGTATGACACCGATAATGACCATGCATCAGAACCCTAGTCTTAACCACTTCAAACTAGGGAACAACGAAGAGAAGATTAGGAATCACATAGATGAAGACAACTAACTCATTTTTTTGCCTTGTTTCAAGATCATCCTCGGTAGACAAAGCCGAGCCTTGTCACTATCAACAAGGCACAAAAAGTAACAAGGACTAAGATGTGTTCCTTGGATTACTGAAAAATCCTGTTCCCCTAGTTTGAAGTAGTCAGGACTAGGAATCGGTGGTAGATCTTACATCCCGTAACGTACTACGAAAAGGTGATCTACCCACGTTACGGGGCATTCCAGAACCTAGTATGTACTGAAAAAAAAAAACTCGACGGTGCCTTTTTTTTAATGCGGTAGAACGGTTTATAAAATTCCAGATTTTTTGCTGATGGAGGGACTTACAATGCTTACCTCGTAAGTCCCTCCTACTTGGAGAATTTTGAAATAGAACGGCTTGCTATGCCTCGCCTCCATCAGCAAAAAATCTGGGATTTTATAAACCGTTCTATAGCATAATTTTCCAAGTAGGGGAATTTACGTATTCTCGGCAACCTAAGCAGCGACCTTCTTTCTATAGCCTTTTTCTCTATGGAACGCACACATATGCAGTATTGGTTTGTTTACAATCTTTTGCTGCCAGCTGCTCTAACAATTTCAGTCGAAAGAATTGTCAAAAACTGTTTTGAAACGCTTTTACAAAGCTCCAATCTTCTCTAGTGAGAGCGAGTATTGTCGGCAACCAGTTTTTCTTCGGCAACCGTTCCATTTGAACTGCATGTAAATCTGCTGTTCTATTATCGGCAACTCGAAATCAGCTACAATTTGTAGTGCGTGTGTTTCATTTCAAGAAAACCCTGCTAGATTGCTTTTTCTCAGTGGTAAAAATATAGTCAAATTGAAGCTGAAAGCATAAAGAATCGTTTGCATGCATTCAGCGAAGTGTTTTCGTAAGAAAATCCAGTGAAAATAGTGTTTCAATTTGGGTTGCCGAAAATAGTCTGTCATGCCGAAGCCGTCATTTCCCCTATATGGAGGTATGGAGGTACCGTCTGATAATTTCAGTGCTTGGTATAGAAATCTGTAATCTGTGTAGGGAAATCTTTTTTTTCCCACCACAGAAACACCACGTTTTCTTATGCAAAATAATGGAGAATCAAATGGAGGAATTTCAACCTAAAATGTATGTTCCTATCGCGAGATATTCACGATTAATATCGAAATTTCACAAAAATGTCCAACCCGTTGTGTGTGTGTGTGCTGCTGATTTTCACTGTTGCCCAATGCTTAGGGAACTTTCATAAATAACGTAGTAGTTGAGGGGGAGAGGGGTTTTAGAAGTTGTGACCGGCCATGTATTAGGTATAGCAAAACACGCTACGAGGAGGAAGGTCAAACAAATTCTAATTTAAATATGGTCCCTTATTTTAATTCCAAGGCTGTGTCCCAACCCAACGGACGAGGTAAATTTAACTCGTGGTTAAAAGTGACAGATGAGTTATCGAATAACCCTGTTCACCGAGCGTGGTTATATCTGTCCGACTAGACGCTAAATTTTGGTAACCGTGGCTGAGTTCTGTTTGAAAACTGATCAATTTCCGGCATTTTCGAACATTGAAAATAACTTTCGAAATGTCACGTTTAACCACAAGGTTAATTCAACTCGGCAAATGGTACACAGCCCAAGAGGTATTTTTCGATTACTTTTTCGAAGGAACGTATAAGCTTTTGTAAACAACGCATTTGATCGACGATTTGGCGTAACTGGTAGCTCACCCACGCATGCTAACACCACCATCAGATAGAGATAGAGGAAATTGTCCCCTACCTGATATAGTGGTGTTAGCATGTGCGTCCGGTTTCGCCATAGGAGAATAAATTAAGATTTTCGTTTAAAAGTTTAATTAAGATTAGTGCGAAGAGGTTTGCACTGGAGACCGATCTATTCAAACCTTGCTATGATTTCGCTATTGTTCCACTTCAGTATAACTATGAATATTTTACCAGGAATCCATTTGAAAGTATACTACCGCTTTGTCATTGTCATCGTGAAGCAGCAGCTATCCCCATAGCTGATGTTATCTATTGGTGTCAGTTCACAGCGCGGATTCGCTATGAAATGAATATGTGACAATTAAGGAACAATAGACTGAAAACTTGTTCTACAAAATGCATGTATGGATGTGCGTATCATCAGAATCAGGTGGGAAGAAGCAAGGTGGGAAAATTATGTCTAGCACCCACCCGCACTGACAGTATTTGTGTGTGTGTGTGTGTGTGTGAATGTGTATTTGTGTATGTCAAGCTCTTCGAGTCGAGCTAGAGGTTTCATGTTTCAGCAACGCATTGCAATGTGTTAACTATATCTACATGTCAATGCTGGCCAGCCATCGTTATCGTGTGAATGGATTCGTTAGTTGACTCTTCGTTTGGAATCCCGGTGTGATATATGAGCTATCAGATCTGCGGTTGCAAAAGAGATATGTTTTCCGCAAAGGTATAGATAAATACGTCCGTGAAAGAATGCCCATGAATTGTTTACACTCTTTGATAATACTTGATAATATAAGTGGTTATAACGAATCTAACTTTTTGTTTTCTCTTTAATTTCAGGTAAGTCGATTATGTTAGATTATTCACCGGATTTGGTGAGTTCGAAATAAAATCAATTACCTATAGCGTTCCCTTTGCCCTGCTTTTAATATTTTAATGTACATACAGTCAATGCTCCGTAAGTCGATGGTCATGAGATTTATCTTTGACAGATCCATAGGCTTATGGTACGTGGTATATGGACAGCCCTTCAGCCGTAGACACCTCTATACAACTTAAAAATCATGATTTATCCGCACCTTAAGTAGACACTCTGAGAACTTCAAGCTCGCACTTTCTCTCTCTCTCTCTCTATGCTTACAAACCAACCGAAATCCAAAGCTTCCTTCTGAATAGTGCTGACAACTAAACCCATAAACATTCTTAATCTCTGTTTAAATTGCTCCTTTGTGACGGTACTTATGCTAAATGCGCAAGCGTCTCACAAAGAGATGGGCCTAACGCGCACGATTATCATTCACAGATTCTAGTTATATAGTAGAACCTGCAAGCACATGCCACGAGATGTAGATCATGTCTTAACCGGCTTCTACCGGTAGTGATACTCGTTCCTATAACCTATACTACTCCCTGCTCTGACTTCAGCTGATAGTGCGGAGTACTACACGGCACTTATCGATCGGATCTCATATGTGGCGCGCGAACTACGCCGGTGACGACGGCGACGGACGGTTTGCGCGCGCTGCTTCCACTCAGACTCAGCCAGTCGCTACTGAGGAGCCTATCGACACAGTTCGGACGGCCACGTCGCGTTCGTTCGCATAGAGAACAAAGCGTGGGCTCTCGCAGCAGCACCCCTTGTGCCCTCTTCCGGTTCCATCCGGCGGCCGACGGTGGTTCAGTTCTTTTGTTCCGATTTCCGCGCCCGGTTTGCGGTTGTGTAGTTTTGGATTGGATCTGGGAATACGTTTTCATAACGATTGAACTCGTTAGTCGGGATAGTCGCGCTCGGTGAAGGTTTGGCAGCTTGCTGTTTTTGTTATGCGCTGTGGGAAAATTGTGAGAAAGTGTGACAAATGGGGAATGGCGGTCTTCGGTGGAATTAATTGTGTATGAGTATAAGAAATTGCGACCATTCAGTTGTGAAAAGTGTACAATTTTAAAAGAAACGTGTTCAGTCAACTTTGTAATATGAGTGCATATCAGTCACACGGCTTATCAACGAAGTAATTGGAGGAATCGAAGTTCATTACTGGAATTTTTACTCAAGTGAGAATCGAAGTCACAAAGATGTCAGTTCCATATGTGTAAGTAAATAATCATGTTGCTGATGATAACAGATTCACACTATATTTGAAAATGGTTTGCATGCATATAGGTATACGTAAAGTGTGAGTCGGAAGTTCGGCAATAAGTCTGAAAATCAAAGCCGTGCGTGGTGTGTTTGTTTTAGATGGCGAGCAGTTATTTTTGCGCCACTATCACTAAATCAGAGGGAGGGGTAGTGGTGTGGATGGTATTTTTGTTTGCGTCATTTTACAGTGATTTTAAAGCTCTTATTTTTAAGATCAGTTTAGCATTTCAGGGCTGTAACAATAGGCCACTAATTACGCGGATTGATGTGCTATCATTTTCCAATGTTCGGGATGCACCGGGTCAACCGTGATTACTTTTCGTCACGTTAATTTGAACTACTGTGCAAATTTTCTGCAAAATCGGTGATGATTTAGAGGTGCTTCAAGTTAACTTTATGTTTTAAGGTAATTTACGGCTCATAAAGGGCGAACACGAAATTATTGCGACACCGAAAATGTCATGCCAATTTCCTTATAATGTTTAGAATCAAACCAATATTTTAGGGTAGGTTTATACATATATTTACTTAAAAAATCAAAAGAAAAGTTAATCGATGGAGCCTTGAGTGTAAAATTGAACGCATTTTCGCTTGATGCCCTCCATCAAAGTCTTTACAGTGTCATCCGGTACCAGTTTCTCAGTTTTTTTTTTCCATTTTCTTAACATGTCCTTCTCGTCTTTGACTGTCTTCTTGCTCTTCCGAAGTTCCCGCTTCATTATTGCCCAGTACTGCTCCACCGGGCGCAGCTCCGGACAGTTTGGCGGATTCATGTCCTTTGGAACAAAATGGACAGAATTGGCCTCATACCACTCCAGGATACTTTTAGAATAGTGGCATGATGTTAAATCTGACCAAAATAGCGGAGCTTCGTCGTGCTGCTGCAAGAACGGCAAAAGGCGCTTCTCGAGGCACTCAGATTTGTAGATCTCGCCAACTGTGCCCTTTGTCACGAAAGGCTCACTCCTCAGTCCGCAAGAGCACATGGCCTGCCAAATGAGATATTTGGAGGCGAACTTCGACATTTTCTTCTTCTTAAATTTGTCGTCCACATCGAACTTGCTCTTGCCGGTGAAAAACTCCAACCCCGGAATTTGCTTAAAATCGGCTTTTATATACGTTTCGTCGTCCATCACACAGCAGCCATATTTTGTCAGCATCTTCTCGTAGAGCTTCCGTGCCCGAGTTTTAGCCGTCTATTGTTGCCGCTCATCGCGGTTTGGGAAGTTCTGTACCTTGTATGTATGTAGTCCAGCTCTCTTCTTTGCATTCTGGACGTAGCTCTGCGACATGCCGATCTTTTTAGCCAAATCACGGCTTGAGACGTTGGGATTTGCTTTAATCATCCGCTTCACCTTTCCCTCCGTCTTTTTGTTCTCCGATCCCGGTTTTCTTCCAGCTCCTTTGCCGTGGTCCAACGTCAACCGCTCCTGGAACCGCTTCAACACTCTGGAGACGGTTGAATGGTGAATGTTCAACATTTTTCCCAACTGCCGGTGCGACAGGTCAGGAAATTCCAGGTGTTTGGAAAGAATTTGTTCTCTCAACTCGCGTTGGTTCACCTCCATTTTCGTTGAATCGAAAAACACGACTTCGAGTTTGACAGCATGTACACAATACACATCAATGAGAAAGTGTGCAAAATTTGGTTGATTTTTACCCAATGGTAAAAAAGTTATGCCCTGTTGAATGTGTCGCAATAATTTCGTGTTCGCCCTTTAAATGCTATGAATGAATTGGATAGCAACGGTTCCATCCTCAGAAGAAAGGTTGGTATATTTGCTCATTTTTCTATACGTTGCTTCCACCTTCGATCGAGCGCAGCGCTACTGTGCCTGTCGCTCGGATTCAGTCTTCTTGATATGTTGTTTTCGCTAAAATTTCGATATTATCTTCATACTTTTACTTCATACTTCATACTTTTCCATCTTTCATCGATCTGTGTGTATTAACCAACACAACACGTTCTACAGCTCTATATTTGTGTAATATGAACATAATCATTTTGCATTTGATCCTCAAAGTCATTCGCACCAAGATGAAGACAAATATTAATATTGACAACAACACAGGCGATAATGAAGAGCCGACCACGAATGGACAAACAAATATGTCGACTTCGATTGGCGTCTTGCAGTGAAACTTTTCCAAGCTTTCGCCACCTTCATTTCGAATTGAGAACTACTGGAAGTGGGATAGTTTCCAAAATCTCCAAGCAAAACAGACGATTTTTGGGGCAAATCGGTCCATACAGAAAAACTAATAATATGTCGTGGAAACTTTTGCCTGAATCGAGTAAGAAAACGTGTTTGCAAACTAACTGTTATTATTTCGGCATGGATCGAAGATGTTTTCATGGAAAATTAGGCATAACAAGTTTGCACCCACAGGGAGAGGTTACCTGCTCGGAAAATGGTGAATATGTGCGATTTCCACTAAGATGAAAGTGGATATTAAGTGAATTTACCTAGGAAAGATTGTATCATGCTGGTGATAATGGAGAAATGGTGGTATAGGACGCCAATATTCAATAAATGTTAATTTTGGCCTTTTGTTGGCAAACATAATTTTCGATGGAAAACACATCGGAGCATTCAAGTTCAGTTGAAAGTTCATCTGGAAAAGTCAAAGATGCAATCGTGATGATCGTAAAAAAACGTTTTCTTCTTCAATTCAAATGTTATTTTGGAAGGATTGTACACAGGCTTGATGAAAACTATGATTTAATCGAATACAACATATCAAGAAGACTGGCAACTTTGCCTGACCTGGATTCAGACAGACACAGTAGCGCTGCGCTCGAGCGAAGGTGGAAGCCGTGCATAGAAGAATGAGCAAATACACAAACTTTTATTCAGAGGATGGAACCTTTGCTATCCAATTCGTTCGAAGCATTTACCCTTGAGCGGCAGATGACGCGATTCTGCCTGTCTCATACCGGACGTATGAGAAAACCCAACAAACATTGAATGTTGAAAAAGAGCTTATTCAGGCAAAAACAAGCTTCTTCAGCTAAAAAATAGCTTATTCAGCTGTTGTTCAACTCAAATTGTATGTTGGGAATGGAAGAGTTGCCAGTCTTCTTGATATGTTGTCTTCGGATTTAATGCTAATTTTCACGAATTTTATACGCAGTCTGTCAACATTATAATCATCACGCAGTGGCGACATCTGCGTTGAGCTTTTACGGCAATCTCCAAATACTCAGAGGTTGCCTAGATTAAAAGAATGTTGATAGCATAGCATAGCATAGCATAAACCAGGTTGCACAATGTCGTAGGTGGTACGAGCTCCAAACTGTTGTTAAGAAGGAGACCCACCTTCATCCGTTGCTGTTAGATAGTAATTTGTGATTAATTATTACCTCTTAGATAAAGGATGTGTCTCCCTCCAACAAACCAGAGCTGTCCTGGCCACGTCCTTGCACCTGGTGGGGAAAGAGAGGAATTTTAGTTCGACACTTACTTAAAAGAGATGCAGAGAACTCTACGACCCCTCATAAGTGTCACGGGAAGGGTGGATTTTTGTTAGTCGGGAGGGTAAGCCATCCCGACCAACCATTCGTGAAACTTCTTCAAAGTTCTTTATACAAAAATAAAGATTAATGTCTGTAATTCTTTACTTTCAAGTTTCTTTGATTTCGATGAATATATTTAAAAACCTTTATTGATCGATACTTACATTTAAGATAATTTCTTTATCGGTCGCATGATAGTAATCTATAAAGATGCCATACTAAATTTCTTCTAATTTCGATGTGTCACAAGGACTATGGTTTTCTTTATAAATATTCATCTAAAAATATTTGAATACTGATACCATCGTAACGTTGAACTTTGGCAAAGAACAATAAAGATTGCCATCGATGTACATTTATAATCTCCTTGCTATCGATTTGCATCGCTGGGTAAATACAGTTTGATACACACTAGATGACAGATGGCAATGTTTATATTAGTTATCGACAAATTTGGTTCTTCATCGAGAGAAGCATGATCTGCCGGAAAATTAATGGCAAAACTGATCGATGGCCACGATGATACAAATGTTTGCCATTAAGTTCTTTAAGTTTACTTTGATACGCTCCCGGCCATTTCTAAAGAATCAGCGATATCAAGCGTGGTAGAATGAGGGAACATGATACTTTGGTTATGGATATGACAATTAAATTTTGAATGTCTGTTTGAAAAATGTACACCAATTTCAAAACACCATATACTAGAGTGTGATTGCCAGTCGTTAAGAAGCTGCGTCAACAGCAGCTATAGACCCGAGGATTAGTTATCAACAAAGAAATCAGTGCACCCTAGATGGCACGGGATCGAAACCTAGCAATTATGCAGATAAAAAAAAAATCACAAAAATATCAGTACCGTGTATTGTTATTTTGATCTGATATGACTGATATGAGAAATCGATATTTTGATCTGGCAACACGAATCGATATTTTTACATAGGTAACGATTAGTAGCAACATTTTGATAAAGATGTTTATAAATGATTCACGATCAGGCTTTTAGTATCTTTACATTTATTCATAAAATGGTGACGATCGCTATCGATTTTTCATATGAATGTCTTTGAAGATCGATGTATCGAAAATTAAAGAAATTTAACGAAATGGTTGGTCGGGATAGGATACGCCCAGCCGGCGTTGCTGGCAATCGTTATATCAGGCATTTAATAAATAGATGCTGTAAGTAGTTTGTCTGGCCGTTATTGCTGCCCATTACCTAAACATATTATTCAAAACAGTCTTCAGATTTTGGAATTAATAAACGTTATCAGCTCGATCCTGTTGCTCCTTTGCGCCTGAAAATGTTTGTTGATCCTAAACATATGCACAATTCATTCTGATGTATAAAAGGTTATTAATAGTATGTGGAATCGTAGATTAGAATGAAGATTTGCCCTTGGTCTAACTCCCACTGTCTGGCAGTGGTATTGTGGATA